CACAGCTACTCTCCTCCTACTCCTCCTCCCTCACTCCCCCCTTCTCCTGCACTTCCGCTCCAAGGGTACCAGGATGCCAAAGGTGCCAAGGGTGCTAAGCAGAGTGCCAGCCGAGTGAATGCCCAGTCAGCCAGGTGTTTTGCTGGGCTTGCCATGCTTAGGCTTTCTCATTCTCTTACTTCCTCTGCCTGTCTCTGTTTCTGTTTCTTTCTTTCCTTCTTTCCATCCTCCTTTTTCTTTCTTTCTTTCTTTCTTTCTTTCTTTCTTTCTTTTTCTTTCTTTCTTTCTTTTTCTTTCTTTCTTTCTTTCTTTCTTTCTTTCTTTCTTTCTTCTTTTTCTTTCTTTCTTTCTTTCTTTCTTTTTCTTTCTTTCTTTTTTCTTTTTTTCTTTTTTTTCTTTTCTTTTTCTTTCTTTCTCTTTCTTCCTTGCTTGCTTACTCGCTCACTCGCTCCCCTCCCTCCCTCCCTCCCTCCCTCTTGTTTACATTAAATATAACTAGCTTCACCAGGTTCATACTGCAGACTATGATTTGGTGCCAAAATGTGTGGGAAAAGGAGGGAGGGAAGAGGTGGGAGGGAAATGAGGTAGGCAAGGAGCATAGAAAGAGAGAACAAGAACAGAGAAACAAATGATAAAAAAAGAATAACAATTACAACACCTACGGAGCACATAATGGGCACAGACCTCCACAGATGGCTAAAAATCCATTTCTTCCTCTCCTCCCTCCTCCCCCCTCCTCCTCCTCCCTCCTCCTCCCTCCTCCCTCCCTCCCTCCCTCCCTCCCTCCCTCCCTCCCTCCCTCCTCTCCCTCCTCCTCTCCCTCCCTCCTCCCTCCCTCCTCCCTCCCTCCTCCTCCTCCCCCCTCCAAATCTATCAACAGTATTTTTATGCATAACTCCCTACAACCCAAGACACCCACAAAGCGAGCAAGAACCAACTAGAAAAAAAATAAATAAGTGGGAAGAACGGCAACATTTTGCCTCATGATATTCATTACGGCTCTCAACTGACCGAGTGACATGAGAAGCAAGCATGGTTAAGTGTGGGAGATATGGAGGGGAAGGGGTAGGGGGGAGGAGGAAGAGGAGGAGGAGGAGGAGGAGGAGGAGGAGGAGGAGGAGGAGGAGGAGGAGGAGGAGGAGGAGGAGGAGGAGGAGGAGGAGGAGGAGGGAGAGGGAGGGAGGGAGGGAGGAGGAGAGGAGGAGAGGAGGAGGAGGAGGAGGAGGAGGAGGGAGGAGGAGGAGGAGTGGAGGAGGAGGAGTGAGAGTAAAGTGAGTGAGTGAGTGAGTGAGTGTTGGTGGGTGTGTGCATGCGAGAGTAAGTGCGTGTGTGCGTGTGCATGTGCGTAGGTGTATGTGTTTGAATGTGTATGTGTTTAGTGTGTAGTGTTTGAGTGTGTATGTGTTTTGTATGTATTTGTATGTGCATGTGTGTGTGTTTGTATGTATATGTATGTGCATGAGTGTGTGTGTGTGTGTGTGTGTGTGTGTGTGTGTGTGTGTGTGTGTGTGTGTGTGTGTGTGTGTGTGTGTGTGTGTGTGTGTGTGTGTGTGTGTGTGTGCGTGGCGTGCGTGTGTACGTGTGCATGCGTGTGTGTGCTTTGTATGCTGCTGCATGTTCAAGTGCGCGTGCCTGAATGCATGTGTAAGTATCCCGTCCACATGCGTGCGTGCGTGCATGTGCGCACGCGCAGCAAGGCACTCCCGAGAGCAAAGATTCATTCTCTACTCCGCTGGACAAAACAGTTGGCAGACTGTGGCGGCTAATTTTTGGACTCGCGGCTCTCAATGACATGCCGAAGGCGGGGGTGGGGGGGAGGGAGGAGGGAGGAGGGGGAGGAGGGGGAGGAGGGAGGAGGGAGAGGAGGAGGAGGAGGGAGGAGGGAGGAGGGAGGAGGGAGGGGGAGGAGGGGAGGGAGGGGGAGGAGGGGAGGAGGGAGGAGGGAGGAGGAGGAGGAGGAGGAGGAGGGAGGAGGAGGAGGAGGAGGAGGGAGGAGGAGGAGGGAGGAGGAGGAGGGAGGAGGAGGAGGAGGAGGAGAGGAGGAGGGAGGAGGAGAGGAGGAGAAGGAAGGAGAAGGAAGGAGAAGGAGACGAGGGAGAGGGAGAGGGAAGGGAGAGAGGGAGGAGGGAGAGGGAGAAGGAGAAGGAGAAGGAGAAGGAGAAGGAGAAGGAGAAGGAGAGGAGAAAGGAGAAGGAGGAGAAGGAGAAAGGAGAAGGAGAAGGAGAAGGAGAAGGAGAAGGAGAAGGAGAAGGAAGAAGAGAAGAAGAAGAAGAAGAAAAGAGAAGAGAAGAAGAAAGAAGAAGAGAAGAGAAGAAGAAGAGAAGAAGAAGAAGAAGAAGGAGAAGGAGAAGGAGAATTCCCTTCCTCTTCCTTCTCGCATCCTCCAACCCTTTTTCTCCCTCTCCTTACTTCCTCCCTCCTTCCTTCCTCTCTCCTTCCTTATCCTTCCCCGTCCTCCCCTCTTTCCCTCCTCGTCTTTCCTCCAGCCTAAAGAACGGCT